TATAAGTTTTATGTATATCGGACGAAAGTGCAAAAAGTTAACTTTAGTAATTTTTTATGAAATTGGCAGATTTCTTTATTTTTATAAAATTGATTTCTTTAAAATAAAAAAGGTGAGAACATGGATATTTACTTTATTTAAAACATTTCTGTTATTGTAAATATATGTCAAAGACCAGTAGCCGGAAAAAATAAAGGCTGGGTAAAAATATTTTTGGCCGCAGTTGCATATGTGCGTGTGTGTGAATATATGTATGTATGTATATGTAGATATATATATTGATAGCAGTATTTATGTTTATCTAAATATTTTTTTCAGTTTATATTACTATCCATATTATTATTTATTAAAATTTATTAACCATAATCTAAGCAAATTTAAATATCATATTTAATTTGGAAGTAATGAATTGGCACACAAAAAATCAAAATTGTTAATTCATATAACTATTGTAGAAACCAAACAATAATGAGACAGCTGTTTCAGACTCTTCAGGCACACCAACGTAGTACAAAAAAAGAAATTCATCCAAAAATCACTTTTTATGCAAGAAAAATGCGAAAAATAAAGGCAAGTTACAACTCCCGGCACATCATCGGCAACGCATGGGAGTAACGAATAACGTAAAAGAAAAGATTGGTTGCTCAAATGCACAAATGTATGAAATTAATCTTAAATCATGCATTTCTATCAGTCCAATCGCTGCAGGCAGAAATGAACAACGCACCTTCCCAAATTTAACTTAATTAAAATAATTAAACAACAAACCGAAAACAAGAAGGAATCCAAAAATAGAAAATACAGTCCCAAAAATATTTTAAAATTTTTAATTTTTTTTTTAAATTTGTAAACAAATAGTGTAATTTGGAACAATGTGTTCTTGGGATTAATTACATAACAGAATATGTTAAAAGCACAATAAAGGTGAATCCTGGATGCAAGGGAGCAACGAAAGGTTTTAGTTGGTTTCTTAGAATTAAAAGAATAGATGAACAAGACTAGTCCACCAAAAGAACAGCATGATGAGACCCACGATTGCTAACTTGACAATAATAGCTGATGCGACATATCAATCGGGTCTAATGGAAAGTAATCGGGTAATACTTTCCATTATATCCGTCACCAGACACTTGACTACGAGTCAATGCATTGCCTCATAGTAGGTACGGCCTGGGATGGAATCTCACACTCTAGAGGCTCCCATTGCGGTTGTGGGCCCACCAGCGGCCGAGCAGTAAAGTCGCTGAACACTGGTAGTTCGGTCCGAGGTTCGAATCCCGCAAACGGGCTGGCTCATGGGGCTTTCGTGTTTCCCCATGTGTAACGTATACGAGCCAGTTCCCTTAGAAAGTCCTCCACCAAGGCATCCCTCCTCTTAGGCAGATAGCCCTCGAGGCTTTGCCATAATCACACACACACACACACCCATTGCGGTTGCTGTGTTTAACAGTTAAATTATCGTCAGGATTCCGTACATCACAAGGCCGTCACCTGCTGGAAAGGCCAATGCTGCATCCTGACGATACCGGGTCAAACGCATGTGGGGAACTACCAGATAGTACAAAAGATAGGACGACGTAACGGGGGCTTTTTAAGCGTATTCAATGCAGTTCTTATCCTTTTTAGTCCGCAGAGACGAGGATGAACGCAAATTTCTAACACAATGCAACTGATTTTTGTCACTGTCATAAAACTATCAGTTGACCAAAAACCAAAGTCTTGCACTGAGTGTAATATATAAACATGATAATCGTCTCAAAACGAAACTCTTAATCTACCTTTTGAAGTGAAACAACGAAAAATCAAGTATCGAGACTAATAGTCTTTTGGGCTTAAGAAAAAAGCTTTAGAAAATACATTTAATGCTAAACACTGAAAAATAAATGGAATTAAAACAGTTTTAGTTTGAAAAAGTATGATGAAATGTAATTTTTACATTAATATTTCTACGGCTAATTCAGAATACTTTGTATAAATGAGTCTTATGGATTTATGTTATAAGGTGAAGTAGTTTCCACTGGCAACGGCAAAGAATTCGGAAGATGAAATAAGTTAAGCTGTACTGTTGCAGACTATAGGATTGATTCCTGCAGGCTACAATGAGACTGAGTGAAATAGCAAAATAAATAAGTGAAATAGGCGTTTTAGTTAGTAAAAGAATAGCAAGAAATTAAACATTTTATCCAAAATTATCACGAAATGTGAAATTTCTGGAAAAAAAATTAATTAGCTGTAATTAAAAATTAAGTCCGCACCACATATTAGGTTTAAGTGTATTCACCAATACTTTTAAATATATTTCATATTCCAATCAATTTAATGCTAGATATAAAACCTGCTTGCATTTAAAATTTCTAGGCAATTTATACGTAAAATATCAACTTCCATGGGAAGTTGATATTTTACGTATAAATTGCCTAGAAATTTACATGTAAAGTCACTTGCTTAGCATAAATATACTAATTTACATATTTTCTTAAAGCAAGCAGGAAATAAGAAACCAAATACAATAAAGCTTTTCATACCTTCACTATTAATTCACATTAGTGCTGATAATTTACTCTAAAAAGTGTTTTAACAAAATATTATAATGAAGAAATAAAACTTAAACAAATTCCCTAAAATTCAGTGTTTGATAGCCTTCGCCAAAACAAATCTACTGATCTAAATGAAATTTCAAATACAAATAATTCAGGGAAGAATAAACCGTTTAAGCGCAGAACCAAGATGTTTGATCGAATATATTTCGTCACAGCACATGGCAATTCTGCATTCAAACGGGTTATTTGATCAAACGTTATAATCTCAAGAGCCTAAGTATAAAAGCTAAGTTCGAGCACAGAATCAGTTATGATTGTTCACTGCTGCTTCACTTAAATCTCTGAAAACTGTAAGGACGGCTCGACATCAAATTTGTGAAAATTACAATATGATGACCAAGTTGACAGACGCTTTATCGTTGCTCTAAAAGTTGGTTTTTCCATTAATCTATCTCTCACTTTATGGACTGAAAGAAAGAAAACCAGCGGTGTTCATGCTTGTGAATTGGGTATGACAAAATTCAGAGTCACATTTGCATGACACAAGCAAAAGGCCTTGCCTTTCTTTTATCCATTGTTATATGATGTATATTTGAGGTAAGCATAGGCTAATTATAGGACTACCTCAAATACCCCTCTAGTAATAACGTGCAGTATTATATGGCAAGCCTTATCCTTGGAATTTCGGAGAAAATATTAGACAGTTGGTCCACTGTGTTCCTGAACTTTAAAGTCTCATAAAACATCAGGATGTGGTTATAAACGATATGGTAGTTAGAGTTATAAGCTGCCAAATCATTAGATATGGTATGAATCTCGGAGAAAGCATGGAAGTTTGTAGATATATAATGTTTTAAGTGACATGTGAGCGTTTAAAATACCATTCAGTGGAAAGTTTCTTTGAAACGCTGTTGATAGGGAAAGAAAGTAAGAGACCTTTGGCTCCATTCTAGCCTTCTCTGTAAGCTGGAACGGAGTTGGACTCCGTCTCAGTTATCATGCAGAAACGTTGCTTTCTAGAGTTTGCCCAAGGATTTTATATCGTAAGTGCCAAGGCTTTAGTAATCTTATTAATCTTATCCGTAAACTTGGCTAATGATTCAACAAATTTCAATTTAGCACTCGCGTTTAAATTAAAACTGGTGCTTCAACATAATGAGTTTTATCTATTGGACATGTCTCATTATAAGCCTGCATAGAAATTTAGTACTCTAGTCGACCAGTTGGTTCATTGCGTTCTTGAGCATTACTGGTCGGTTAAACCTAAAGATAAAGCTTGCTTTCGAATCGAAACTAATATTTAAATATATCGTTTTCTTCCAACTTTATAATTATTTTATCTAACTCAACGACCCACTATTCTGGGATTTGTGATAATTCATTTGTTATATGCAATGTATGTATTAATTTTCATCCTGTTTAAAAACTCGTGGCCTTTTAGTCCAAAGGGATTGCATTGAATCACTATAAATGTCCGTTTCACTTTTCAAACTGTTGTCACTATATATTAGAGTCCTGCATTATGTTTGAAGAAATTAAATAATGAAATAATCTGTATAAATGTATGTGTATTCTCGCATTGTGATACGTCGTGATAAAACAACGGTACATACAGCCATCGAATTTTGAATGACATAATCCTCCTACGAATATGGGCATGTGGAAGACCAAATTTGAAATTTGAATTGTTTATGATCGATTTCCTATTTTTTTTAAAACTTTGACGAATTTTGATTAACAAACTCAAGGATTTCAAAGCGAGCAATGGCAACTTGTGCAGGGGGAAAAACATTTTATCTCCAGCGCGTGAGTCTCTGTATCGAAAATTCTAGAAGGTATGCTCGTTTTAAAATTATTTTGCGATATAGCTTGCACTGAATTATTATGGTTTAAGTGCGAGACATAATATTTAATAACTAAAGGTAACACACAAAACGTTAAAAAGCGCCCCTTTGGACGTAATTTAAAATCTGAAACCTTTCAGTTTTTTTCGGGGGGGGGCTGTTGTTACTATAATTATTCTTGTTTTTAAGAAACCACCATTCGCAGTGGCAATTAAATCTAAATCTCTTTCATCATTTTGATGTTCATTAGATTATAAATATAGTTATTTTTCTGACTGTAATTTTATGGTTTGAAATTATTTTCAAAGTTTCCTTTAAATCCAAATAGTGCAGAAATATTCTCATACTTTATTCAGCTCTACAAGGAAAAATAGAATTGAATTCGTGAAAACTGAGTTTACACTACGCAACATAAACAGTGATTACCAGTATAGATTTCAAATGAGAATCCTCAGTAAAAATTAAAACTTAACTTTTCATACAAACATTTTGCTTACATGCAAAAATAAATAGGGTTTCATGTGAGAAATGTGTTCTGGATTTTGATATAAATGTATTATAAATAATTCTTTAAAGAATTTTTTTATTATTTTCCTTTTTTTTTCTTTTGTTTTAGCATCAGCCTGTCAGTTTGCTACTTTAAACCCCAATCGATTCACTTATGCTATAGTAAGCATGCTCTTCACCTATTTATCCAGTGTTTTCATCCATTCTCTTCCGCCTTTCATCGCAGCCGTATGGTTTCCTAGCAACGAAGTATCACGTGCTTGTGCTGTCGGAATTTTTGGTAGTCAGGTAATATTACTTGGCTATTCATCCACTCCTATAATAATTTTAAAAATGGAATATTTCAAGTTTTGAAAATCCGTGATAGTGTATTTAACCAAACTTTGATACTATTATCACGGAATAACAAAAATGTTATTCTTATTGTAGTTTCTCTAGTAAATAATGTGAATATGCCATGGATTTTTATGCCTTCACACTTAATATACAATTTTATTTTGAATCATATCTAGAACCATGTTATGCATTAATTTTGAAGATACTGTGAAACTAATTTGGCCTCCAAATTACTTCCAAAAACTAAAATTGGGGGAAATTTAATTTTTATTATTTTGAGAACTGTGGCTATTCTATCAATTTCAATATTAGTCACTAGAGATTCTTTAGGTTATTTTGAAACAGGAGTACATGAAAAATGCGCAATTTCCTCGCTGGGACTCGAAACTGGACCTCTCAAATAAGCTTCGAGTGTGCTACCGTTACATCACGTAGGCATGCTGGACCAAGGACCAAGGCGTTCTTGTTACGGAGTACCTTTGCAACTAAATGCAATTACCTTTACATCTTCGTTAATAAATATGAAATGGATAAGAATGTTAAATATGGAAATTTGGTGTATTTATAACTATTTTAA